TTTCTAAAAGAAATTCTCCTGCTAAACTCCTGTTTTTTGATAAAAAACTCCTGATTTCTGAAATTTCAATTTGGCAAGCCTGATTTGGGCTAACAGTAACAACAACTGCTTCATGAATTTTTTTCTTTAATGTTGATGATGAAGTTGTTTCATCGACAAATGTTTTCATCTTAAATTTTTATTTATTGAGAATAGCAAAAAAGAGGAAAAACAAATAAATACCTGTGAATGAGTTTTGAGATCTCATAAAAGAACATTTTCACAGGCTGGAACAAATATACGGCGTGAACTGACTTTAGTGTTGATGACAACAGAGCAATATTGTTTGCATTACCACTACCAATGATGCCAAAGACTTTTTCAGGAACATGACGATCATATTGTTTTGTGAGAACCATCTTCAATTAAAAAAGAACACCAAAAAAAGATTTTCTTTTTAGGTGAGAGTTTTTTAGATTGAAACCTTGCAAGTGAACAATCGATATGCTAATCAATTTCCACTAAACACAAATGGATTTACCATCGACCGATCTGTTTTATCCATCACGGAAAGTTTTCTCTATTTCACAGTAAAACGACATATTGTCCCAAATAGAAATATAGGCAGCAGTAAACTTTTCAAACCGTTTCCTGTCTCTTAAATAAGTACAATCTAACGAACTTAATGAAAATATAAATCTTGAAATTATTGAGTTGAGACAATAAGCCCATTTGGCATGAAAAAGTATGAAGAAAAAGATTGTTATCGAACAATAAAAATAACGAGCAATTTCAATCATTGTCTTAATTTGAATAGTTTATGACCAAAATTTAATACTTTGTCTTTAGCATTATTCAAATTTAATGGTCTATTTTATATTCTATCAATAGTTGAATAAATTCTCTTGATATCTGTATGAAAAATAGTTCCAAAATTTTACAAGGGTTTCATATGATCTGTATCTCAATAAATGACTTTAGTTTAACATATCCATAATTTCTTATGTGTAATACAATTGTATAAAAAAAAGCTTCTTATTTCTATTGTATGTTTTTCTCATATAATCTTCAAATATTTGTCACCATTAAAAATAAGCAAACCAGTCTTTTAAAAGCAAATTTTGAAAAGAATGAGAAAAGACCATTTCTTTGTTTACATATTGTTAGAGTGTGGGTCTGGATATAAATATTCTGTTTACCTCAAACTCAAAAATATATGTCAAAAAAACAACAGCGAAAAGTTTACTTCAACATTTGCGATTAACATAAGCAACATATTTTTATTGCATACGCAAAAAGCGACCCGTGTATAAATATATCTTCAAAAAATATAATGGATCAAAAATATTCAGACATAGACTTAAAAATAAGACTATGTTGCTTTATGTCGGCATGATTTAACTATGGATATCAGCCCTTGCTTCACATCGAACTGCACGTCTCACAATTTAATAGAGTTATTGAATGATATTAAAACTTTTTCGATACTTTTCTGCAGAATCTTTTCATTATTTTCATACGATCGATCATATTTTTCGCTGTTCTTTCGTCCATTACGTATTTTTTCGGTCATTTTAATACATGCGAATAAATGATATTCATAAAAGACACCAGTTAGTTCATGTGTTTTCTTTTGCCATATAAGGAATGAACTCATTGGTAAATGTTGCTGTCAGCGGTCATAAGTTATGAACAAAGAAATAATAACACAATGAGTATTCAGAGTATAACATTGTATAAACGGTGATAAGAGGAATATCTTATTTGCCGTCTTCATTGAGTTGATTATAATGACCACTGCCTTCGATAATATACCTGATTTATCATTGATCGAAATATTGTCTTATCTATCTTGTACTGATGCTCTATGGGCATTCAGTAATATCAATGCTCGTATGACAACATTGTTAATTGAATTAGGTTTTTATCGTCATGCTAATTTATCATCTACTCGATATTATCAATTTAAAGCATTTTTACCAATACTTCGATTAAATGAAATAGAGTCACTTGCCATTGATTGCTATGCATCATCTATTCAATTGAACAAATGGCCTTATTTACCACAACTAATAACATTACGATTGAAGGGTGTACGCAACCTTGTTGATGTTTACAATTTTGCACAAAAACATGCAAAAACATTGATGCATCTTACAGTTGAATCAAGCGATGATTATCAGACAGTAAGTGTAGTCTGAGATGATCGTAATAGTCAATGAATAAAACTTAGAGGAATTAGTAGAGTATATCTGTATGTTATTGTGTACTACACTACACTGTATTTAGAAAAATGAATTCATTAGAGTTTAAATTAAACTTCAGAATTTAACTGAAGCAGATTATTTAGATTGGCTTCTAGAATTGTTTTCTAACCGTACTTATAGTTATCGCAATTGTTCGAAGCATTTGATCTGCAAGTAACTTTTAGTTCTAATGTAGTTAGAAATTTGTCTATATTTTTCAGATATTTTCTTTCGTCAAAAATTAGCCTTGAGAAAAAAAATCATCTAAGATAAGAAATAGGTTTCTATATATTTGTATGATAAAAAAAGAATTCTCTTATTAAGATATTTGAATAAGCTGAAAAAATCAATTCTTAATTAAAGTCATATATGTATTCTAATATTTATTTTGTTTTATAAAGGTTGGTCTGACAAAGACAAAAAAAAATTATCCATCATGGAATTTATCTGATTTTGTGCAGAAAGTTCTTCGTCATCTGTGTACACTTCGTTTACTTGATTTGGGAATGGAAACAGCTTTTTTTTCTACATCTTTGGTCTTTAAAAACCATACCAACAGGCTTGATCTATCTAAGAATTACACTTAATAAAACACAAGATTTACTTCATATTATGTCGACTACACCATTAGCATGTACATTACAACAACTACACATAAAAATGAGTGTGTGTAATGACATAGATCGTAGTTTACATGCTAAAGGTTGTTTACCTCGAATGGAAGCCTTGCATACATTTACTTTTTTAAAATCATTTCATTCGTATTCCAGTGAAGAATGGACACTAGTTAATGTATTAACTAGTTCTAGTGTTATGCCTATTTTACGACGAATGAATTTCTCTATTGTTATTGCTCGTAATGATCTTGATCGAATGACTAATTCAGCACTCTTTACTGATTATCGTCGTGTTGATATTCATTATGCTTTAATTATCAATGATAATCGACCACTTTTTGAACTTAGTAAATATGTACCACGTGGTAGTCAATCTCATCCACGTCAAATAGCTAGTGCAACATTTATGTTTGACTATTGGCCTCATGATCAACCGTTCACAACTTCCGAGCAATTTTATGTAAGTTATCACTTGATAAACATCAAGATTTACTTCAATGATATACAAGTTACTGTATCCATCTCATTATTTAATCGTTTTTTAGTTTGGAAAACGAAAACAACGACAACATCTTTTCTACACGTTGCCATGGATCTTCAAGGAATTCTATGAATTATGCGTTCCAGACATATTTATCAGTGACTTGCATGTGTTTCCATCGTCAACTCTAGTTAATAGAATTTGTGCTTCTCGTCTTGCCAAGATGAATATACAAGATAATCATCCATCACCTACTACTTTTTTTCTCTCATATAATGATTTCGAATCAAGTTACTGAACTTCGTTTATCAAAATGTGATAAGACGACTCCTATAAATTTGTCAAATGTTACTCATCTTATTCTTACAGATAGTCTTGATTCGTTAAATAGTTGCTCACTTTCAACCAGCATTCGATCTATTCAAATTACTCTTCATCATAAATGGCTTAATTTGGGGAATGATGATTGGAATGCTTTTCGTAAACTGTCAACTTTGCCAATGTTGAAGTCTTTACGTGTACTTTTGCGTAATATGCATACTCCACCAGATGACGCAAGTTGCCAAATTATTGCAGAAACAGCATTAATGGTCTCGGATTTTTGCTTCTGCTTTCGACGTCATGGAGATCGAAATGAATATGATATTGCCCATGTGTTTCATTACGATGAAACTGTGGCGCAGTTACGGCGTAACTGCGATCGCACTGTGACCCGTAATTGCGGAAAATTGCGCCGTAACTACGCGTAACTACGATGAAAAATTCGCAATTACGGGTAGTTACGGTGAAAAAATCCCAGTTATGCATAACGGCGTCCACGTTTTTCGCAATTATGGGTTACAGTGTCGTNCCACTACTATCAATGCGCCATTGTTACGCGTAACTGCGACGCAATATTGGCGCTGCGCGTAACTGCGGCACAGTTGATAAAAAAGAGACGACATGGGTGATATGGCATACGCAAAGCACTCTTTATTCATCAAACAATTACGAAATCGTATTCTTGCTTTACCACTAAATGAAAAACCATATATCGTTGTTGAGAAAGATAGTTGTGGAATTTTCGTATGGTTTTGATTAATAAATAAATATCAGATCATTCTAATTAGTTATGATTATTAAAACATTTAGTTTTTCGATTGCAGATTTCCTTAAATCTGATGAAATGTTCCTTTCAAAATAGAAGGAAGTTTATTGAGTTTTCAATACTAAAGCTAATTGATAATTATTAACATCTTTAAAGTCATAGCATCAGTTTTCTACTTTCAAAGAAGAACGAAAAACAGACAAGATAATTTCAAACTTCTAAAGGCCGACACTTATACTTATTAATTTTTATTGTGATAGAGCTTGTATAAAAACTTGATTTAAATATTACTAAAGGACTAGGACGCACAAGAACTTGATTTGGTTCATTCGACTTTTCAAACTCAATCCAGCACAATCATGCATAGTATGCAAGGTCTTTAATCGACGAGTACTATAATCCCAGATTTGAGCTATACTTCACGCACTAGTCGACGGTCTTGACTTCGATCTGTCCAGATTCTTGTCTGGCGAGGTAAAAATCATATCGTCTGCTTCGATTCTTTTTTCTTTCTTGCCCAAAAATCTTGGCTGATCTCATAAGAATTCTGAATATCTTGTGTTTCTTGCTACATTCTTTATTTTCTTGGAGATCACCCAGGTCGAAAAATCTGACTCAAGATCTTATGAAATGCATACAAGATCTTGGAATATGGGCGAAATCTTACAAGAACCTGACTGTGCGACTTAATATAAGATCTCAGAAACTATGATTTTTTGTATGATTTTCGTATGATCGTACAAGATCAGATCTAAGATCTGACAATATGATTGTTTGTCCTGGGCAGATATGGCTCTTTCTTTCCTTGCCCAGGTCGAGCAATCGTAAAGTAAGATCAGCTATGGGTTCATACATGACCATATCTGATCTGATGTCAGAATCGTATATGTTCGTGTACGATCATACAAAAAATCATAGTTCCTGCGATCTGATATCAATACATATGGTACGACTCTTTTATGATCATACGACGTGATCTATTATGATGCTACAGAATCTTATAGTAATAATTCCTCTGATACAGCCAGAAACATACATGCTTGGTACTTCTTACCCACCCTCGTCAATTACAATTCAATCTAGCTTTAAATAACCTTTCCCGCCCGCATAAACACACAAATCAAGAGGTACCCATATCTCTCACGCCAGGAGTACCTACGACTGTCGCTTAACTACCTCCCCGGTATCTAGGACTCGCTACCAACTACGCCAGAGTTATATTGAACTCGTTTATAAGCATCTCAATAATGCTTAGAATTCACTTTTCAGCATCCCATGGATAGCTAAAACTACATCTAAGTACCCCAATGATACCTAAAATCTTCTCCTAAGTACCCCTATGTACCCAGAGATAGATCAGGCTAACTTTTAAGTACCCCATGGGTATCTAGAGTTCATTTTTAAATACCCCAATGATACAGTCATCCCACCTTGGGATGCCAGGGATGCATGGTAACCTCTCCTAAGAACTGTTTTATGTATTATCTATATGGATGGATTAGAATAGAACTCAAAATGTTGGATGCGAGTCATACGGAAAAGTAGAATATTGAGTGACTACTTTTAGATGATAAACATTGAATATTAAATGAAAGGTGTTATCGCTTTGTCGTGGGTATAGAAAATTGAAAATTGACTATCGGCTGTAGCATATATTTGTAGATAGAAACATTTTAAGTATAAGGAATCATTTTCGACGCTATGGGCAGCATGAAAAAATATGCACAGAACTGTTCTTATGTATGCTAATGTGGTGGAGGAAGAAGGAAGATAATTGAAGTACTGAATTCTTTTTTTTAATTATCATGCCTCACAGTAAAGCTGATTTATTGAATAATGCTCGAAGAACTGTTTCGCAGAACTGACCAGTTACGATCAAACAAGAGTAGACAAGACGTATTTTATACCATAGTATCTGTTTCTTATATCACGAATCTTACTGGATCTCTTAAGATGGGATACGAATCATATAGTTTGATAGTATAAGTTTCTTAATCTTTGATTCTTACAAGATTTTTCGCTGGCATCTTATAGTCAGAATCTGATGCAATATTTAAGAATGAAAACTTATTTGATTTGATAATAAGATCATAGGAAAAATCTTGCATGAATAAGATCTTATATTATCTTGCACGATCTGATGTCTGGCTTTTCGACCTGGGTGAGCAAGAATCTGGTCTGACGTTTAAGAATATTTTCTTGGAAGTCAGGCCAAATTCTTGTTGAATGAAGAAAGAAGAACCTTATCTGATCTCCAAGAAAATAAAGAGTGTAGCAAGAAATACAAGATATTTAGAATTCTTGTGAGATCAGTAGAGCCCATCGGGTTCAACATTTTTGGACCCGTACCCGCTTCATTAAACTTTTCGTAGACCCGTACCCGATCTTTTAAAAAATTTCGGAACCAAACCCGGACCCGGTAAACAGAAAATTTTTAGATCCGGACCCGATATTAATTGTATCTGAAACCAAAGCAGTATGTAATTTGAACACGAACAACATACGAATCAAAAATTGCTTTAGACCTGGACCCGGACCCACTCTATAAAAAACTTCCAGACCTGGACCCGATGAAAATTAAACTTTTGGACCCGGACCCTACCCGACGGGCTCTAGAGAGCACCCAAGATTCTTGGGCAAGAAAGAGAAAAGAATCTTGCCTCGCCAGACAAGAATCTGGACAGGTTGAAGTCAAGATCGTCGACTAGTGCGCATATTTGAGGATTGTCTCAACCACTGTTGGGGTTAAAACTGACTGACGAGGGAACCACCCGAAGTGATTCGCCGCTTTTAAGCTCATATTTATGGGACATATAAGAAACCTCTAGACTAAACTAAGCTCTGAAGGATTTGGGCCCATGCATATGTGGGGCTGTGTTATAACCGTTTTACTGGATTTTTACCCTAGGAGACTGGTTTACCTGCAAAAGCAAATCAATGAATTTCGACCTGAAATTTTCTCTATGAAAAGGTCTAAGAGCCACTAGAGTGCCCTGAAAGTTTCAGACAAAAAGAATGCATCCTTCTTAAGATATTGGATTTTCAAAAACCGGCTATTTCTCGAATAGAATTAGCAAAACTGGAATTTATTGTGANTCAGCCCCACATATGCATGGGCCCAAATCCTTCAGGATTTATTCTAGTCTAGAGGTCCCCTATATGTCCCATAAATATGAGCTTAAAAGCGGCGAATCACTTCGGGCGGTTCCCTCATGAATTGTACTCGATGTTTACCCCATTCCGAAATCAGTGTAACCCATTTGGGACCTGAACAGCTGGCAACCCTGAATAGCATGAAAGCTCTAATTACAGTTGAGCTGTTTATCAGCAAATTTATTAAAACAATACTCGAACACAGAAATTAATAACAGCACTAAGCCAATTGGATAAAATTTCCGTATAAAAAATCCTATATTTTTGTCATTTTTTGGAGAAAAGCCTATAATTAAGCAAATGATCCTATAAAGGAATCCTATATTTTAAAAAAATAGCAATCGGAAGCCAGATTGCTGATAATCAGTCGTTATTAATACAAAGCTAAAAACGATTTCTCGCGATGATGATTATACAGACACTGTTAGTAAAGCAAATATTATTTCATTCATAATCTCTACTATACTCTTGATATGTAAAAATGCTACGGGAGTAAATCTGGAATAATGCGGTATCAAAAACAAAAAACGATCTATGTTTACGATCAATGAATTCACTGTTCTGTTATCATCCATAGGAAAACTTGAACGTTCAATCTTGACCAGTCTTAAAGAGATAAATGTTATCATTTATCCTTCTATGCAAACGTTTATGTTACTCCTTTTGATTTCATTCTATGAGATTGAATTTAACTTCGAGAATATTGTTAGAGAAAGAGCGTTAAATCTAATCGACAATATTTAAAGAGAAATGAAATTTAATTTGCTATAGGCAAAAGACAATGACATTCGCACTAGTAATCACAATAAGACCAATATGAGCTAGAATGCTATCTACACTCACATTATGAGAGACCCATTATAATGTTAAATGAATTAAATTCGAAGTCTTTTGCTCATAAGTATATCTGTCGGCATCGACTTGAATGTGAACACAAGGATGAGTCCCAAGCAGACAAACTTTTTGAAAAACACGTTTAAACGCTCAATCCAGAGCCGCGAGTGTGTGTCATTAACGCTCATTAATGAAACGCGCTTTTTATGCAGAATTCTCACTTTTCCGAGTGTGAAAACGAATAAAAACTCCAATTTTAAACGCACAATTACTCGATAAATTAAAAACCAATTCGTTTAAACGCTCAAAATTCGTAACCTCAACAAACATTAAAATTGAAATAATCCCACTGGGGAGACGTTTATCTATGGGTAATTTTAATGCTTTAATTTATGACAAAAAACGACAATAGTAAGTCAACAATAAAATGTAATCTTTAAGAAATGGGTGCACATTTGAATGATTTTTGTCAAAGTATTGATTCTAATATGAAGTTCGATGTTATTATGTTCTTCTTCAAACAGTGCAATATGAGTACAATTTACCTAAATATTCGACAAAAAAAATGTAAAAGAAAAGTGAACTTTTATTTATATAAATGGTACGACATTAGGTAAATTTAACCGTCGAAAAAAATCTCTTATTTTTTCACTTTTGTACTGTTTCGAAAAGTGGATTAAGACAAAGATAATTTCTGGATGTTGTAAGACAAACGGTTGAAGATCATCCTACAATTTTAACATATATATATTATTTTATTTTTTGTTAGAATTAATTGTCTTACCCAAATAACATGTTTAACATCGCAAGCTCGTTCTGCATGTTGTTCATTATCAATAAATGAACATTCAATAATAATCAACGGAAATTGGAAAAGTTCAACTGGATATGTATCAAAGATAGTCGCTGTTGTATCACCCATAAACGCAAATAATGGAAATAATCTTTCTTCTGGAAGTTGTAAATTTTTATCAGCTCGTGGCATGTCGATAATTTCTTTACTGGTCAAATGTTCATATTCGTTTTGTAATTTTTGCCGACATTCATAAAAACCATAGCCACAGCAAGGCACGGAATGGTCCATATTAAATACACGAACTTTCATTGTTTCTCGAAACGGTAATAAATCATCAGGTTTCACACCGATTAATTCACAATTAGGTGTCCGCTTTTGCGATTCTGAATCTATTCTACCAGCTGCTCGAAGAATGCCACATTTTTCAATGAAATCTTTCATGGGTTCTACAGCTGATTTAGGAAGAAAAACTTGTGGTGGTCGAGCTCTACTCAATAATCGTGTAATATCAAGGCAATGATCTGAATGTGCATGTGAGATAAATATGTAAAGCGGCCGAGCTACTGCTACTAAACAACCACAATCAAGTAACATGTCCAACTCAGGAATATATAAACTCGTAGCATCAGCTGCTCTTGAACGGCCGAGTAAGGTATACGAACCAATCGATATTGGAAATTTCCATGAGAGAACATCATTCGAACATAGCCATTCACTGCTAGAAGGTGTTGACACAGGAAACATGGTCGATATTGTATTATGCATGATCAAGTGAATGAAAAAATATGTGTCAAACTACTTGCATTATCCTTACAATTTTGCATCATACTTGCATCAATGACGCATGTTATTGAGTAATTTCATTTTGTTAGAGGAACGGTATATTTTTTTTCGACGTGCTCTATGACGCATTGTATAGACGAGGCATGCATTGAAAATAACATCTTGCGAACTTATTTATATTCATTTTTGGTTCCGGTGTGTGATTAAACTGTTTTATTGAGTTTCTTATATATCCGGTTTCATTGTGAAAGCAAAATGGTTGCCAGATCTTCCGAATTTGACATCTGACAACGCCGTATCAAACGATTGGTCTGTTTATTTCGTTCCCGAATGTATGGATAGAAAAAAATAGCGCCTACTTTAACCAATCAACCGGGATACATCAGCACATAAATCTAACTTGACTTTTCAAGGGAGATCGGTTTATTTTCTAGTGATTTATTGTCATATTTCATAGATTTTTTATAAAAAAAAGAAGATTACAATTGTCTTGAATGATTTTTCTGGAGGGTGTGGATGTTAGAATTCCCTAGAGCATACTCACCCCCGCCCACACCCTCGCCCATTACAGTGGTAAGAATGACCATTTCCATGGTACAATTGGTCATTCTTGTGGTGTAAATGACCATTACTGTGACACAATTGACCATTTCAGTGGTCCGAATGACCATTTTTATGGCACAAATGATCATTTCCAGTGGCACCATTGTCCATTTCCATGACACATATTACTGGCGGATCCACTGAGATGGCACGCAGAGGAGCCAGCTCTAATGACGCAGCAAGTGAACAGGCAGCCGGAATTCCCATAAGGAACTTTGATCCCTCCTTAGCTAAATTTTTAAACACTGTGATCAAGTAGCTAGGTGATTGTGAGCTTTCACCCCTTACTCCCATCAGAAGCAAATCGGAGTTCAGGCACTGCTTTGTACCTGCCTTTTGCCCTTATTTTCGTTGCGTTCTTATTCATAGTTCTTGGAAATTTCTCATTTTCTGCTTACCGGTACCCCACTTTCACTTATTCTCCCTCTAGTTTCCATGTCTCGGTTGAAGTTATTCAGCCAGCTTTTTGGAAATTTCAGGATCTTTGAAGTTAACAGCCGACGAAGTGGGCTATTCATATATTTGTATGTATGAGTTTTGTTAGCCTAGGGCCCAGTGAATCGATTTTCGACTCACGTTACTTGTATTTTCACTTGGTGAAATATAAATAATATATTTATTAAAAAAATTAAGATACATATAATCATGATATTCAGAAATAAATTCCCTATATTAAAAACAAAGAGTGCAGAATAAAAAAATTCGCTCTGTGGCGAATAGATTTATAAATACTTGGTATAAAAGCACTAATTTGCACTTTTTTCTTACTTACTAGCATATAAGTATCCAATTTTATTAAGACGTGAAGACACTAGTAGAAAAGATATGTGCAAATATTCTTGTCTACACAGTTTTTTGTGCCTATGATATCAAAAGCATTTTAGATACCGGGGGAAGACAAAATGTAAGGTTTTTATTTTAAAAAACCGTCATTTTTATTTAACTTTATTTTTTCTTATGAATAAATTATTCATGTAACTTTGTCTTAAAAGGATAAGTTTTTAGAAAGTTTTCATCTTTATGCTTGTAAGTAATAAAATTCCGTAATGTATTTATCTTTATTGCATAAATAGAAGAGTTTCATTTCGAGTCATTTTATTATAGGGCACAACAAAAATAAGCCAACAAATCCATTTGAAAAAGCACTTATGAAATCCCGATAAATGAAATAGTTGAAAATAAAAGTGTTATATTCAAAGGATATATTTGTCTGTCTAGGAGATAAAAGATGCAGAGTCCAACCACATTAAACTTGTAATCTATCGTCTCCCAATTCTTAACTGTTTAAAAGTAATGTAGAAGGAGAAATATAGCATTGATAAAAGTTAAATATGTTCAATAAAAACTCTGCAGACAGCAATCTATTATCATAGGCTTACTGCTCTACATGATTAATCTGTTAAATCAAACTCAATTTAATTATATTTTACTAATGCTGATGAAGTCTGCATGCTAAGCTCTGGTTTGTTTCAGACACAAAGTCTTGATTATTTTCTGACGTTTTTGAGAGTAAAGTGAACGCGTTTTTCTCATAATAATATTATAAGTAGAAGAGTCAGAATATGTATATAAATGCGTTTTCCAGGACGATGTTTCCGGCCTCCGGAACGAGAGGATTAAATTGGAACCTGCCAGAAACATGCAGGACACGTGCTGGAACGTGCAGGAAAACGCCGGATATCACCGGACCCTGGAAGCAGTATTCCGGGACGGATTTTGCCGGATTTTCCCTGTGAGTTCCGATCATTTCCGGCGGGAGCGAACAGGAACATAGCGAAGCTTACAGGAATCCGGGCCGGTTGCTTCGACCTGGGTGTCAACAGGGGCAAGTTTACACACTTTTTGGTTTTCGAACGCGTTTACACGCCTAGGGGTACGACAGCTCTCAGATCCAGAACTAGATCCTATGAGCGAAAAAGATCTGTTTAGGCAGTTGCTTTAATCCAGCAATTGCAGAATGCCTACGCAGCAGAATTCAGAATTCTATAAACTTATAATATTTTTAAACAAATCAATGCTTATAGAATAGAATTCTATAGAATTCCACCTTGGCACGATTAAAGTATATCACTTTTGCTCTTCGTATGATATTAGAATTCTATTGTACCTTGTTTCAATTCAGCTTAGAATTCTATATTGAGAAGATTACAGTATATCAATTTCACTCTTCGTATGATATTAGAATTCTACTGTAACTTGTTTGAAATTTGCTTAGAATTCTGTATTGACAAGATTAAAGTATATAAATTTCCTTTTCATATGATTTTAGAATTCTACTGTAGCTTGTTTGAATTTTGCTCAGAATTCTATAGCATGTTAGGGTAATGGAATATGTTTTGTGTAAACAAATGCGTTGGTTATGTTGCTAGCTTGGCACAAATTCGCAGGATTAAAGCTGTTTTCGTAAATTTTATGGATAGAGGATACATTTTATACGAAATGAAGGGAATCTAAAACATCTAGTTTAATTAAAAACATCAATACTTCTAATTTATTTCAAACTTACTGATGTCTCTGGTAAACGTGAAATTCATACACACTAATGTTCTGCGCGCAGATCTTCCTGCTTCAAAAACAGACTGGCAGAACATAGTGCATCAATTCAAAGGCAAATTTCCAAGTTATGGATAATATAAAAACTGTTCGTATAACTGTTTAAGTGTTTTTGTAAGATAAGCTATATGTAGTCTTATTGGAAAGAAATGAATGAAATTACAAAGATACGAAACAACTTGTTTATTAGATAGCTTGTTTAATTCTACAATTCTGACTTTAGCATGTACAAAATATTTCATTCTCAATAATGCATGATATTCTTCCATGTTTGATATACATGCGAATGTAAATGTTTCCTCTTTTCTCTCGTTTCATGATGTAATCATGATCAACTATCTTCGATGTGTATCAGTTTCTTCTCTAGACATGTATGATTAAAAAAAGAAATCTAGAGATGAACAAACAACCATCATTATATCAACATCTTTTTACAAGCATAATCCTCAACAGTTGACTACAATAAATCACACAAAATCTTTCATTTTGAAATAAGCATTTGAGCTTTGTATTCTGCTACTACCGATAGAATTCTCTTTTATATTCTGCTGGTCTTTTTAACTTCTCGATAAGAATTCATTCTAGTTATCTTTGTTTCGTATTTTTATACTGATAGTTGGTTATAATTCTGCTTCAACCGATAGAATTCTATTTTCCACTTATGGTAGTGCGTATGTTTATATTACGCTACTTTTTCGCTATGTACGAAGTAAAAAAATTCTGAATTCTGATGGTTAGGCATTCTGCAGGCCCTCGGCCTCGATAGCTCTCATAGTCATGAAGCTATAACAGTTCTCGTGGAAGCCACAAAACAAGTCATAAGTCTAGTTTAGTAAGGTATACAAGGCTGAAACTTTTACCACAAGCGTTTCTCACTGCCACCATGTATCCCTGAAAGTTTCAGCTTAGACCTATGCTCAAAAGTGGCAAGTCGATTATGAGGGGGGGGCCCTTAATCTGATCTGAGCTATTCGAACAGATCAGATTAGATCTGGAGATCTGTTCGGACAGTTCTTGAGATGTGGGTGTGCACACCCACACCCTCAAGAACAAACTGACACTAAGATCAGATATGAATTCTTGTACGACCATATCCGATCTTAGTCAGGAATCGTATATGATCATATAAGATCATACGGAAAATCGTCGTCGCTGACATCTGATGTCAGATCTTTCATCCGATTTCGTATATGATTAAACAGTACGATCTTACGTATGATTATGTAAAATGGTACAGGATGATTATAAGCCATTTCTTCATAAATATCCATTATTGAATATTTTTACGCAACCGCGCAACTACAATTCTACCCTGAAATGCGAATTCGAAATCCTTTTAGGTTCCGTGCAAACCAGGTTCTCGACGAACCTTTTGTCGAAAATGTCAAATATAGGGATTCTCACACTGCTCTGTCTACTCAATGTAATAAATCAGTTAGAAAGCTCTGCCTAGCAAACGCCGGTTCCTAGAAAACCATTCTGGGGTTTCAGGACTTTCATTCTCCCCCTTATCAATCGAGAACAACCCGATCGTAACACCTTAGGGCAATAATGCGCGATTAGCTCCTGCAGAAACCAGCGGTCAGAACGATCGACATGGAATGCTTGATCTAAACAGAAATAAATTACTTCATGAGGTTTTAGCTTTCAAAATCGAACTTACCTTTTATGTTTGATCATATGACACTTGACCTCAGGTGAAATGAAAAACGTAATAATGGTCTGTTTGGTTCATCTTATTATTGACTGAGTAAGGGAGGGTGTGTGGGTGTGGGGTGTGGGTGTGGGTGTGGGTGTGGGCATGGATATGAAACCATACACCACTCACACCCACACCCAGCTTAACCCCTGATGGTCATAATTTCAGAAGGATTGCCACGTTGTCGCAATTCAGATGTCGAAACTCTTACTCATTAAAATTCTGTTATCGCTGAGCAAATAATTGAAACATGTCGCAATAACAGATGTCATGAAGTGAGATAAAACCATCAAAAGAAGCCTATATAAATTACCTTTGGGTTTCTTTTCTTTTCGTTGACATTTCAGTTTCTTTCCAATATGGGTCGCACACAGCAAACAGCTTGTAAATCAGACGGTGGTAGAGCCAGTCGTCGAGCTGCTGTCTTTCAAGCTTACGCCCAGCAAAGACAAGCTGCAGCAAGGCAACAAGGGAGAGAAGAATTAACAGAGGCAGAACTTGAAGCCGCAGCACCGGTTGATGTGGTTTATGATGTCAGCTATGAAAGTTCATTTTATGCTCATTATTTTACCGCTCAAGCAACAACATCTGATATATTATTACCGTCATTTGGTGTTGCTACAACAATCAATCCATTGGAAAATAGCGATCAAAAGCCTGAGCATTGGCTCAGTGTGAATTTTAACAGTCATTTTGATGGCCCAGGTATTCGTTCGAATAATGTACGACTTCATCTTGTTATAACACTTGATGTATCCGGTTCGATGTCCGATAGATTCAAAGGTGAACCAGGTAAAACAAAAGTACAGATCGCACAACAGTCTTTATTAACACTTCTCAAACAACTTTCACCAGATGATGCACTTGGTATCGTACTCTTTAATAGTACCGCAACAGTTTTACATCCCATTGAAAAAGTATCTTCAATAGATAGAGAACAATTGAAAGACGATATCTTAAAACTACGCGGCAGTGGTGGCACGAATATTACCGAAGCAATTAAATGTGCCACTGATCTGTATCATATACGAGGGAAGAACAAAGATCTGGAAGATGATAATCGTAACATAAGTCGGCGAATATTTTTTCTCACCGATATGGAAGTATCACATGAAGATGGACAGCAATTTTTAAAGCATATTAAAGATAATGCAGAAAATGAAAGAATCTGGTCAACTGTTGTTGGTGTTGGTCTTGATTTAGGGGCAGAAGTGATTCAATCAGTATCACGTACAATTGGTTGTAACTATTGTAATGTTCGAAATGCTCGAACATTTGATGAATTAATGAATACAGAATTTCATTATACAGTTACACCGGTGGCATTTAATATTCAATTTGAGTTAATGGGAGAACGTTACCAAATCCGGCAAGGTTATGGTTCACCTGAAGTATACCAATTCGACCAGTCGATAACCACTCGCCAGACAATAAAACTAGTTACTGAATTTGCGTTACCCATGAATGACCAAAACGAAGTACGTGGTGGATATTTTCTATTTCAAATCATCGATTCAAATAAAGATCAAAATGAACAATCATTTCGAATCAATACATCGTGGGAAACTCCTCAAGGTGTAAGTCAAAGAAAATCAGAGGACTTAGAATTCTCCAAAGAAATCGACTCATTTACTCACTCGGGCATACGGAAAGCTATTCTACTTGTTCGTTATACAAAATTTATCAAACGCTATTTGAAAGTACGTCAAGCATCAGCTACACCTGACATGTTGGAAGAATATCAAACAATGCGTCAACAATTTCCACGCTTAGTAGAACATTTCCAAAGAGAAATGATAATTCTCAATGATCGATCCTTATACAAAGAAGAGTATCGACATCTGTTAGATATTGCTCAGAAAGATGATATACCCTTGAATCAACATGAAATCGAAGAACTTCGTCAAAAATTATCGGATATTGTCACTGATGATACATCAGCTGCGGCTATGGCCACTGTAGATAGATGTTGTATTTGTTTAGCAAAGAACAGTTCAGTGGTTTTGTCTCCATGTGGTCATAAATGTTTATGCAATGATTGTGTAGATCAGCTACAAGAGCCATTAACGAAATGTCCTATCTGTCGACAGGAAATATTGCATCCAATAACACTAAACGTTTAACGAAAGCATCCATCTTCAGAACAATATTCACTAGACTTGAACGAGAAATAACGCAATCGATCAAGCTTAGCACTTGCCCCTTCTGTCAACAATCAAAAAATTGATCTTTTTTATGGTCATTCATAAATAAACCAGAAATATATGAGAACATATTTTCATTTTTCTTCTTTTTTACTGGAATAGATAGATATCTTATTATCAGTGATACTTGGAAGAGGATCTACAGAAAATTTGATTTTTTATGAATGTGGACATATCAAATTCTATTTCACGTGATGAGTGCTTGCTTCTATTGAACTTGTACGTTGTAATAGACTTTCCTTCGCCCAAATCTAATCTGCAAGTGAGCCATTATGAATAGTCAGAGTGAAAACGAAGTCCTAGGTTGAAAACATGGAATAAAGATAGTGTTCAATCATCATTTTCGTTTCTCATGAGATTTGTACGTTAAAGAAGAATTGACCTAGTCTTAGAGGTAAGTATGTGTCGAACCGAATCTCTCGGATTTTCGGGATTCGGTTTTCAGTCCATAAATCTAGGAAAGACGTACTAAGGCATGCAGTTTGTATGGGCATATTGTTCAATGACACGTTTGGAGTAGTCGATCGTACACCGCTTTAAAATCAAGAGCAGAACATCAGTGCATATCGGATACACTGTAAAAAAAAGGCTAGCAACAAAAACCCTTACCCTTCTAGAAACTAGTCTAATACCCCCGAATCGTTTTTGTGAGTGACTGAAACTCTTCCATTTAGACCAAAAAGGTTTTTTGATGAACTCAAACAGTTTCCACTACGAAATCAAAGGTTTTTGGCGACTTTCATTAATGAAAACAGGGGTTTTGTTTTCGAACTCATGACGAAGCCGTTTATTGTCGATCACAGAAATCGTCGAGCTCAAGGATTTAATATCGAAACAAACTGAATAGGTTTTTTGTTTTAATCAGAATCAAAGAAAGTTTTACAGTTTTGACGAATGTTGTCGAGGAATGCACCGAGTTGTTGGTGATCATTGCCCAGTGAATCCAATAGATATTTGCGAGCCTTTTTGTATGACACAAAACCAAAGTGTTGATAAGGAAGCAAAGCCATTTTCCAGTGTGACAATGATGGCAACAGAGGAGAGCAGTAGATAAGGCTCATTGGATGAGGGGCAACTCGACAGAGGTTTTCCAGTTAAGTGTTGACGTTGGGAATCGTTGAGATGCCATTGATCATCAAAGTTTTGTTTTCTAATCAATTAACGAACGATATTTTCATTACCTGTGGACCAAATATTGTCGTCGTTGTCCACGCTCTCTAATGTTTTTTTTCTAGGTGCTCCTGTAGATAAGCAGCAATCAGCTAAGAATCCCAAACTGGACGACGGCATTCCAAGGAGCTTGGTATCGTCTTCCTTCATAGATCACGCGAAAATATTTTCGTAGACAATTGGATCAGCTTTTCGATTTAGGCTTCTCACGACGCACTGCGGGCTGATACGTATCGTTAGTGTGAGGTGTATATTAAGCTGTATCTCGCATGCACACCCACACCCACACCCACACCCTTTATATCCAAGCATATCGATACTTTCGTACACATTCGAGTCCATTTTGGCGATGAATTTGTTCTTCTTTATATTAAATAATAATATTACAAGAGCAATTCTCATTCGAATATAATATATCTGCTTAAAAATTATTAGTAAAATTCGGAGAATTTTATGATTCACAGTGAATCACGTGGTTATATGACCACTCACTTTACAAAAGAACGAATAGTGTTGGTCATATGCCAGTCTAGTCAATGATCGTATTAAATTATGCGATAGATGCTCTCCTAATTTCTCTAGAATATTATCGCCCAAATTAATCAATAAAGATCGCGATCGTTGTATACACAATGTCGATAAATGTTGCGGTATTTTGCATCGGATCTTTTCTAGATAGTCGATTGTAGCGGGTAGGAGAGTCGATTGGTATTGGTCAAAATATGTTTGCCAGCTCTGTCGATATCCCCACTCGGCTAGATGGCGCACATACAAATTGACGATGATATTTATTTGATTTGTCGGCGAGGTATCAGGTATTTCCATATGAATGGCATAATCGAGTAAGAGAAACGGAATCGGTGAATGACTATTTAAAAGTAGCTCTCGAGTATAGTCGGGAATCGTTTTCATCGGCTCGATACGCGATCCTTGTTGTAGAAGAAATTTGATCTTAGTTATAAGATGCCGATCTTCAGAACTTTTACCTTCAAGCACATTGAGTAGAGCCTGATTGAGACTTTGATCAAGAGCTAAACGTTTAAGATAGGTTGAATACTGTGGAATATAGATCGACGGGAAATAAGTGAAGAATGTGTTGATATTTTCTTTAATAACTGAAGCCGATGAATCGAATTTGAGTACACAATCGAACAGAGCCAGGCGCAGAGAAAAACAGAATTGAGAATTGAGAATAGTTTGTATTAGGTATGAACATCGATTTCCGAATCCCCACAGTTGAGCAAAGAGTCGAAGAACGGCTTGTGCATTTGGACACGATGAAAACGATTCTTCTGTATTTTGTTGACTAACATTGATAGATTTATGCTCACATACGGCGCATAACAGATAGCTTAAATACGAACGATCCCAATTGTCTACATAATTCATTAATGTTGGCTCCTTTATATTCGATAGAGCTTCATCGATTAAAGGTAGACACTTCTCATTTGTACACAAACGCATCAAAAGCATAAATGGCGTCGTACCAGTATTATTATCACCGATGTACAATATATTCACATTGGTTTTAATTTTTAGAAGCGACTCGATTAATTTCTCATCACCAGGACGATACCTCGCTAGAATGCCTTGTAGAATCCACGATGGATATCCATTGGCATGCGGAATATGTCTATTTATCAATATTGTTAGGCATCGAATAAGTTGCTGAAAATCTGTACATTGACGAATAAATTCCATCAGTTGGAAAATCGAAAACGTCAGCGAAAATGATCGAAATGGCAGATGAAGAATTTGTTCAAATCTATCGAAGTATTTGTCAGACAATAAATGACAGAGATGTTTAGTCGTTGTCGTCGATAATTCATCTGATGTTAATGGCGATTGATTCAGAACTTCGACTAATTCGAATACATAATTATCATTGGTTAACGTTGGTAACAACTCAAAGAAAATTCTAAGGCAGTTGATACTATGAGATGATTGTCGGACGCAAATGATGAATTTGTCAATTTGTTGATTGGCAATCGAGTTGTAAATGGTTTTTTCGGAAACTCGAGTTTGAAGTAGTTGCGTAACATTGAGCCTACGTAATAACAATTCAATGGGTTTCATTTTGCTGCTTGATTATATTCTTGTCCACAGATGATTGTCGCGCTGTCTTTTTGAAAATAATTTCAGCAAGACTTGAGTAATAACCGTCTGCTGACTCACGAAAAAAGCACATGATATCAATGTGGCAAAATTAGTCATGCCAAGATATGAGTCAGAGAAAAAGGAAACAACAAAAGCACGCGTGAGATTGAAAGAAAAATCGACAGATCGGATAAAATCGCAAATCTCGCACCCTCTTAGAGTCATTTAAAAGTTTACCAGCAAGATAAACTATTGGCAACTACCCATTTCTATAAAGTTTGTCCCACTTGAAGCATCACAGGAAATAATATACAGGATGTGGGTTTAAATGCAAATTGAAACGAATACATACCCATACTCAGCACTCAACCAAGCCCGAAACAATCTGAATTTGTATGAAAACGAATAGAAAAATAAAATACTGGGAAAAAACAGTATATTTTCTTACTATAACCACCAATATATTATCAGATAAACAGTTCAAACATGTGATCGTGCTTCAGTGTTGTTCATCAAGACACAAACCCAAGAAAATGAATGTGATCAGCATAATAGATTATTATTCCATCATAATTATATATATATCTATATGCCAGTGCAAAATCATAGATGATTCATTTAGCAATCAGCTTTTAAACCTTGCATGTAAAATTCACTCTGAGATATATTTTGTTGTGGGTAACTTTTCAAAGCTAAACTCTCTAAATACGATCTGACGTGATTGCTTTTGATTTGATTTCAATTAAACTATTATGAAACAAGAAACGGCGAAATATTAACGCATTTTTTGATAGTGAAGTTAAATCGATTCAAAGGCAAATCAATCGATCTCTTAACGAAAAGACAAATCAATTTGCTAGTCTCAATTCTTGCTTTTCAGCAACCGATCAAAATCGGATTTTAGTTAAAAATATAATAATTTCTTTCTGTGCTAAATTTAAGAAAATAATTAAATAAATGTAGAGATTAATTTTGCCGACGCGTTTCGTGTTATTTATTTATTAAAATAATGAAACACTCTTCAGGGTTCTAAATGTTAAGTTAGCACAATAAAAAAATGGGGAAAACAAATAGGATGATATAACTAAGATTAAAATATAATGAAAAATGAAAAATGAAAATTAAGAAACAAATGCAAAATATAAAAGGACAGAAAACACTAAAAGTTGAGGATGATATTCCATTGTTCGAGCTCTCTTTCTGAGTCGATTCAATTGCGCATTGTAATCGCATTTTTTCAGCATGTTCATAATTGCAGTATAACGTTTGGCCGTTTGCCAATGATAAATCCAACTTTACGAGAGAGTCGAGTAAATTATGCCCATTTCAGGGCTGATGTTGATCAATGTGAGCTTGGATGCATTGTCCGGTGTTGGAGCCACTCTGATAATTTGAAATATAAATATAAGCATGGTTACGTTGCCCACTGTTGAAAAGTTCAATAATTTGTTTGGGTGTAAATTTATACTGCTTGTCGTATGTATACGTTCACTATTTTTTAATATACTTTCCTTTCTCTGTCTTTACTTATATCGTATGCATGTTTAGCATATTTTCGTTCTATTGTCTTTACTGATATCATATCGGATAATTTCATATGAATTCCGTACGAATTCCATCCAAATTCAATATCAATTTCAAAATCTCACTCAATAGATTTAATATTAAAATAAGATAAAATCCAATGAATAAGTTTAATATTAAAATAAGATAAAATCCAATGAATAAGTTTAATATTAAAATAAGATAAAATCCAATGAATAAGCTTAATATTAAAATAGGATAAAATCCAATGAATAAGTTTAATATTAAAATAAGATAAAATCCAATGAATATAATACCAATTGCATATTAAAATTTTTATGTTCAAATTGGATTCTATATTTTTTTTAAATTCTTACACAAGAATAAATTCACTGCTAGTCTCTTATTGAAATGAAATAAATAAATAAAATGAAATTAGCACTTAATGTTGAATTAAAAACCAGCAAATAAAATTTAATTTAAAGTTAATCTAAATGAAGTCAACATCAATTTAAATAAAATTAATATCAGCTTAATACTGTAATTAAATTAAATAAATTCTCTATCGACTTCTGAACTAAATGAAATAAACTCCATATTGATTTCCTAATTAAATTGAAATCAATAATAAATTCAATGGACGAATCTAATAAATGCATAATTCGTTTCATAGTTGAATTAAATGAATTTCATATTGGCTTCCTGATTTAATTAATTCGTTTCATAATTGACTTCCTGACTAAATTAAATAATTCCATATTGAATTTCCAATTAAATTAAATAAATTCAATAAACTATTTCAATAAATAAATCTAATAGATTCATATTAGTATCATTATTAAATTAAATTAAATGCCAATAGTAGAGTTGTTTTGAATAGAATTTCATAAATATTGTGTTACTACCAGTAACTTAGAAATCATAAAGATATCTGAGTATAATTATTATTTATTATTTCACATATAGCAGTATTTTTCTTATATTAATAAGATAGGTATCAGCTTTTCGATTTTGTATGTATTAGGCGTCTTTGCAGATTATCGACATTTTGAGTACCAAGTATAGGGATAACTTCATTTATTGGAGATTTATCAAAATATTTCTCCCATAAGATATGGAATTTAATTGGAAATGTTTTCATACTTGAACAGTAAGTAAAATGGACAAATATTGTCTTCTCATAATTTACTGATAATTTTTCTTTTATAGGAGAATCTATAACTTTTTGACGAGATCTATTGTAATTGATTGAAGTTAATGGTTCATTAATGCCAAATTTTACTAATACATTATTGAATTGTTCATCAATAATTTTATTTGGATATTTATTAAGTAATAATGCCATTCTTAATTTCTCACGTTCATTTAGATGTGATTCAAATATTGAACAATATCTAATGGCACGTAATAGCATGGCAAATGGAATATTCTTTTTCATATGTAATGGATGAATACTATTAAAAGGCAAATAATATGGTTCATAAGATGGTTTCTGGAAAACTGTAGTAAATAATTGACCATCTTGATTTTCCATATTTAAATCTAGAAAATTGACAATTGAACCAATATTTGCAGATAATTTAATATTTTCATCGAATTTATTCCATCTATCTACTTCTTTAAGTAAGTGTCGAGCAGGCCAATTAATAGTAATAAATATATCATCAATATATCGGAAATAAAGTCCACCACTATTTCGAATTTGATTAACTATTCGTCTTTCAAAAAATTACATATAACAATTAGAAATAGTTAGCTTAAGAGGAGAACCCATTGCTCCTCCTCTTATTTGATGATAAAATTGACCATTATAAGAAAAATAATTATTTT